AATAGCAAACTTGGAGATGTACTAGGACATGGCAAGTCCTTATTCCTGATGACAAGGGTGAATGACCTTGTAGGACACTTTAAGATTAGATGTTATCCTAGGTACGTGTACTAAGCTGTTTCCAAGATGGCCCCCAGTGATCGTTGCCTCTGGTAACAGCAACCCCAGCCAAAATCTGACCGCATCCTCATGAAAGACCTCAAGCAAGGACTTGGCTGGCCAAGCCCTTTCCAAATTCCTGACCCATACGTGATTACTGTTGTTTTAAGCCACTACATTTTAGGATAATTTTTCTTGCCTGTTTTTTTAAAAAATTTGGTGGGGGTGGAGGTAATTAGGTTTATTTATTTTTAATGGAGGTATTGGGGATTGAACCCAAGACCTCATGCATGCTATGCATGTGCTCTTCCACTGAGCTGTACCCTCCCCTCCATTTTAGGATAATTTGTCACTGATACAGAATATATTGTGATGAGGTAAAGTCATTGAAAGGTTTTAAGCAGAGAAGTGAATGGTCAGACTTGCATCTTAAAAATAATTCTCCCTGACAGGTGGAAGATGGATGAAGGGCGTGGAAGTTGGGAAAATAAGGCAGGATACTAGTTAGGAAGATATCACACCACCCAGATATGATTGAGAGGGACTAAAGCGGAGTGGCAATCAAGCTGGAGGTTAGAGAAATGGGCTGTTAACCAAAACTTCAGAAATGGAGAACTGATTGAAATAAGAAGGTGTTTACTTGGGGTTTGTTAGGACTGTAGCTGATAAGACACAGATTCAAGAAGCACTTGAATCATTGGACTACAAAATGGAGGGAGCTTATAAAGGCAAAAACTACAAGGTTACATTTAGTTACATGAGTTGTTTATCAAGAATAATAATTGGAATTGGCAAGAAGTAAGGGCACTTGGTAAGTAAGGATTGGTTGGGTCCGAAATGGCGGCACAGTGACAAGGGGAGACCTTCAGACAATAAGGTTGCAGCTGGCAAGTGTTGTTCTCAATATGGCTCGTGGTGTCTTTGGGTCTAGTACAGTTCAAAGAAAGTTCAAGTTCTCGGGCATGCAGGTACACGTATGAAACCAGATCCTCAATGGCCACCTGCCATTTTGTATGTCTGAACTGCAGTTACTCCATTTTCATTTCTATTTGTCGTCAGGATTGAGAAGTGTTTATAAAAGATAGAGACAGCCTCTATGAGGTGACTGGCTGTGGCAGGAAAGGTAGAGACTAAATTGATTCTTGTGTTCTTTTCTTTCTTCTAGAGTCTTACTGTATGTATAGACTCCCTAGCTTTGACTACTTGTTGAAAAAAGATTCAGTCCAAGTCCCGTCCTCCTTCTCCATCACTGCTCAGATATCTCCCTCTGAAGGTCTCACTCTTATCAAAGATAAATGCATTTACTTAGTTGGACTTTGGGGATTTATAATGAGTACTAGCTATAACTATCTTGCCATAAATTAGGGATATGTGGGTGCTTTCCTTAAACTAAATCTTCTTTAAAATATTTTGTGCTTCAAGATTTTTCTCCCATCAGCCTTTTTCTATTAATTTATTTGAAGAAACACTAAAAATGTAGTTTGCATTTCAAGTGTTCTTTTAAACTACACAAACAATATTTTTAAGACTTTAGTAATATAATCTGGTTTTTAAGAGTCAGTTGACTTACCTTATCATTTTTTTAAGTATTGAATTAAAATTTATTTTAATAGGTAAAGGTTTATATATCCTTTTAAAAAATAAAAATTCAGAACTCTTAGAGTTAAGCAATGAGTCTTTCACATTATAAAGCTATTTATAACAGTAATTAAAGTAGACAGTAACCCTTTATTTTACCCTTATAAAAATGTCACAGAATTCAAAGCACAACTTGGATCCTCAATGATTCAAGTATCTTATCTTACACAATCAGGGTTTGGTCAGTTTTAAGATAAAATTCCTCCAGATATGCTGTCCCAATTGACTTACTTTAAATCAAAACTTAAACATACGCTAATTAAGAAATTAGCCAAAGAAAAACAGTAACATTAATCTCCTAAGGTTTTGTTCTCTTTAAAAAAGTTTCTCTTTTTAACTTTGGAGAAATTTCCTGGGAATGACTAGTTTTTTCTTTGAAGAAACCTTTAGCAGAAGTTCGGCAATTCCTTCCATTTTACCTCAGGCTCTCCCCTGGGGACCAGTGCATGCCTGGACCCGGTTTTGGCTTCACTCTAAGCAAGGCTCTCCTCTTTGCTCAGACAGTACTTGGGGGGACTACCCAGCCACCTGTGTGGACCTAAGAGACTACACCCTTCCATTTAAAAATCCCTTTGTGTGACTCATATCAAAGAAATATACAGCACAGGTCACGGTAAGAGTCACTCCAGGACAGGCTATGTGGTATGACTTGAGGGCACTGGGAAAGCTCCCTTCCAGAGACTGCTTTCCCTTTGTTTTTCCACAGAACCTTTTTAGGAGCTCTGTGTTAGAAACAGGGCCTAAGACTAAATATATATTTCTTATTATAAATCACAATATCACAATGAGTCATCATCAGGTGACTCCAAAAGTCCGTTACTAAATTCTATGTGAACTTTGTTGACAAAAAACTAATCAATAGTGGATCTAAGAAGGAAATACATAATTTTATTTGAGCCAACATGATATTTATCAGGAGGCAGTCTTTTGGAAAGCTCAAGATTAAGAAGGAAGGTTAGCTCCTAAGCAGTTGTGACCCTTTAAGAGAGTGAGAAAGAATGTTATCTCCTAAAGAGGTCTGGGTAAAGCAGATGCACAACACACACTAAAAGGGAGGGAGGAGGCTCAAACAGGCAAAGAAAATTGTTATGTTTACATTTTTCTTATCTTCCCATAAAATATGAATTTTACTTCATCACCTTGTAGAAAAGGTATTTTCCATTGCCCTCTAGGTCCACTCTCTACCCTTCTTCACCCTGCTGACCTGTACAGACTAGTTCAATGTCACTGATTTCCAGTTGGGTTCACCCAGTGGAGATTCCCAGGAGAGATCAGAGGTAAGAGAGGACAGCGAGGGTGGTGTTATAACTGTGCAACTGAAAAGTCACCTTGGGCTGCTTGGGTCCCTTGACCAAAGGTCAAAGCTCCTCTTCTAACAAACTCCATGTCTCTCTAGAGTCTGCTTCCTCTCTTCATCCTTCTGAAACAGAGCAGGACCCTGTGGGGTCCTCCCTGGTACAAATCTTTTCTGTGTCTCTCATTTCTTGTTTGTAGGAAATAGACTTCGTTCAGCCTCCTTGACCTTCCCTGAGTTTCAAAGGGCAGATTCAAAGGGTTGCTAATCAGAAAAGGGAGAGAATGCAGAAAGGAGGAGCAGTCAAGAAACAATGTGCAGCCTTGAGACAGGGTCCTGGTTCCTCCTCAAGGAATATATATATAACCTTATCCCTAAGTTCTTCTGCAGGAACTAAGGCCCCCACCCAGGTGAAGGTGGTAACTTCAGGTTGAGTATAAGATTCCTGGAACACTGTCCTGTTAACTCATCACCAACCAATTAGAAGAAACACACACACCCTGCAGCTCTCGCCCCAAATTTTGCCTTTAAAAGTTCTCCCTGAGAACCTTCAGGGGGTTTGGGTTTTGGGGGCACAAGCCACTCATTCTCTTTGCTTGGCCCTGCAATAAACCTTTCTCTGCTCCAAACTCCCAATATTTTGGGTAACACTTCCAGGACGAGGGGTAGGAATAGTCTTGTGGTCTCTCCCTACACACAACACACACTTGTATAAATAGTACCATTATTAAACCCAACTTGAATTATCCTAATTTGAGTGTGCCATCTGTCTCCTCCTGGGACTTTAACAGATACTCTTTGATAGAAGCAACTTATCAAGCTGTTATTGGCCATAAACATCCAATTATGAATTAGTTTGTGAGACTGTTTTTCAAGGTATAACTACCTAAGGCTGGGCTCAGAGGGAATGGGACCTAGGGCAAATAAATCTTCCAAGTTACAAGAGAAACAACACAAAGCAACAGAAGAAGCAAAGGGTTTGAAACTAGGAGATCCTGGTTTCAGATCCAGATAAGCAGTTTTCAACACCTCTGGGTCTCATTTTTCTTACCTATAAAGTAAGAGGTTTTAAATAGATCATTGACTTTCAGCTTGTATTTCCCCAAATCCCACAGTTCCACAGAGGCACCTTAATGTCCACCAACCTGGGAAGGGAGAGATGCAATGGAAAGACAGGAGGAAAGAGACAGAGTCCCATCCCTACTACGTGGAACGAGGTAACCAAGGATGTGACCTGGATGAGGAGTCCAGATGAAGAACAGGACTTTGTTCTGGAGATTTCTCAGGTCATGGATGCAAGACTGGGTATTCCTGCTGCCAGTCCTCTAGGGAAAGGTGGGCTCTGGTGAGTGTATGTGTGTGTGTGTGTCTGTGTTTAAAGAGCAGTTTGGGATTTCTGGCCTCTGTGTGCAGTAACACTGGGTGGGTAAGAACATCCTCCCACCCTCTTCTAGGACCCATGCCAGTATCTGTGGTGGAGCACCATCCAGGCAATGCTGGGGGCAATGAAAACTAGTCCATATCTCTGAGTCCCCACACTCCCAGCAAAGACCAGTAGGCAAGCCAAGTGGAGGACTGGGTCGTAGCCTGAGTCAGCCTTCTCGAATTCACAGATTTATTACAGAGAAAAATTCTGGGGAGGAAAAAAAAGATTTTCCTGGGATTGGTGTGTGTGTGTGTGTTAGTTTTAATGTTAAAAGGAATGTGGTTAAATTTTAGACCCTTATGTGGTAGAAGCGACACATATTCATGACATATAGACAGCATGTAGCACAGAATAGGTGCTCAATAACCGTGGAATAAATGAATGCATGGGTGAATGAAAAGCAGATGAATTCTGGGTTAGAAGACAAGGATTCTTCTGCATTAGAAGATAAGGATTCTGCTTTTAAACACGCATATGAAAAGCAGCAAGCTAGTTCACAGTAAAAGTCTGGTTAGCTCTGATGGCCAACAAGCATGGGCTTACCTCTTCTTGCTAGATCCTTGCAGGTTCCTCAAGGGCTATCAGGAAGAGCTCTGGGCCACCAGCAAGAGGAGAGCAGGAAAAGAAAAAGAATAGAGAAATCCAATTTCAAATGATGCACTTATTTTTATCTTTGTCTTGGGTATTTTCTTTCCATTACAGTTCAATAAGCTCAAAGAAAGACTTCAGTGATTTAAAGCTGCCAAATAAAGTCACTAGATTTTTTCCCAATTTTTTATTTTGAAATAATGATAGATTTACAGGAAATTGATAAACTAGTACAGAAAGAGTAGTGTATACTAGAAACTGTGTACCCTACAACAAAATGTATTTTTTAAATGTAAAATCCAGTTAAATATTTTAGGGCCACTTTATTCCATTTTATTATTCTTCCGAAATGCTGATTACCTTAAAACTTAGGATCCAAGAGATGTAACTGATCACATTTAAAGTGGTATCTCAGACACACTTCTGATTAAGGAATCAAGTTTAAACCAAAAAAAGAGTCATGGCTCTCTTTCAGATGATTAGCCTTTGAAAAAGGGTCACGCTACGGTAAAGTTACAGAGATAAAAGGTTGTATTTACGGTGTTTCAAAACATTTGAGTCCTCTCTGGCTGCCTGGCTTTCTGGAAGGCAACCAGTAGAGGGCACTCTATGCTTCAAAGGCTGCAGAAAACGCTTGAGGATTCCTTCAGAAGCCTTACATTTTTTACCTTCTGCACGATACTTTCATCTTACTACATTTGAGCTTGCCTGTTGGATTGCAGAGTAGGGTTTTTCCTTTTTCTTTTTGGTTGGTATTTTGGTTGCTTGTTTTTGGTGACGAACATCAAAATCACAAGTTATGAACTCCCAAATAGCCCTGTTAACATTACACACATACTTTTTTAAAGAATCCAATGTTCTTAAATCAGTGTTCTCCAATTACTCAACTTGGTCTTTGAATCAGTCACTCAATGATACAGGATTCCAGGAAATAACCTACCCACGATTATCAGGATTTCATAACCCTCAATATTCTTGCCTGAATTCACATCCACTGCCTGAACCTAAGTACAATGCAGATCTATTTATCTGCCAGCCTTTAGTTAGCCTATAAAACACTGATGTGCTGCGAGCAGTTTGGCAGGAGAGCAAAGCATGCTCCCTTTTCACCTTTTATAAACAGCGTAGAAAACAGGATAGTAATTTCCCTGTGGCACACAGATAAAACTAGAACCTCACCAGCAATAATAAATCAATGTGTGCTTGAGAGGCATCAAAGTTCCTCCGGAAGTGGGAGGAAGACTAGTATTTGCCAAAGACCTAGCACATGGCAGGTACTTGCTTGGTGTTTCCCCTACACCATCTCACTTTAGGTTTCTCTAGTCGTGCCTACCTCACAGTTGGGGACACAAAGGTGCTCACAGGCGTCCAGCTAGCAAGTGGCAGGGGGAGGAGCAAACCAGACGTTTCTGGTTTCAGGAGAGCTGCCCTGCCCTGTGTTTAGTCACTCTGCCACGATTTCCCCTGGCACTTTCTGGGACTGTACTTTCAGTGATTCCTGATTGTCTATATTTTGGAATTCGTCTATTGCTTGAATATGTCATCTGTTAGTATGAAACTGCCCCAAACCACAGTAATAGAGATTAAAAAAAGAAAGAACTTTTTTTGCAGGGGCTGAATGTTGGGAGGGGGGTTGGGCAAGGGCAGTGAAGGGAGGCTTTTGTTTTTCACTCTGTTATTTCCATCATGTTTGAATATTTTATGATTTGAACATATTCATGCAGTACTTTTTTTTTAAAGAGAAGGGAAAAAGAAACTTCCCAGGAAAACATGAAAAAAAAAATGTAGAAAGAGCCACAATGCAGTATATATTCTATTTTTATGACATATTTATAGTAATTTGAAGATAAAGATCTCTTTTGAGAGAGTAAAAAAGAGGACCAAAGTTTCATTATATGGCTCTTCTCTTCTCTTCGTCCCTCACACCCTACACACAGAAACACAAACAAAAGCCTCTTATTGTTTCCCCTGAAGGAACAACGATGACTAAGTGAATAAATCATCCAGTCACCAAAACTTCACTCCCAGTCACTTGACACCATTTAGGGAATACTATGTGGGAAATGTTCAGCTGTTCGCGTCCCCCCAGCACCACCCCCTCAGATGAGAGGATGTGAGGAATGGGAAAGAAGTTGTCAATACTACAGTTTCTAAAGGAACCCTGCATGTTTCATTCAAACAGTTCTACCCTTAATTTGAAGGTTGAAAGGGTGACAAATATGTTTCCCCCTTTCTTCTTGTTAACTCCAGCACAGATGATTTTCATTACAAATTGAAGGAAATAAGCTTACATTTTTTAGGGTTAAGTTTACACATCAGAGCCTGTTAAATTCATTCAACGGTCCTGTAAACAACTCTAAATAAGGTCCTGAAAACAACTCTAAAACAAGTTCAGGAAACTGAACCATGGGGTTAATTCTGAGACATGAAAAGGGTTTAATAATCTCCCCCTGATGATTCAGTATCTGCTGAGAAGCGTTTACCGGGGAGAAACTCAGCAGTGGGAACAGGGTCACGACACTTCCCCCTCCTGTTACTTTATCCTGCGCTTTGAAATCTTGTTAAAACTGATGTATTGTCAAAGTCGTATTTATTCCAGTTATTCTGGTAAAAATTCCCTTGTTAGGTAGCAAGAGCACCTCAAACCTCTCTGCAACCGTCAGCAGTCAGTATTCTACTCTCCCTTGCTCTCACCACCTGAATAATCTGGAATGCTTACACATTCAGCAGTGCCTCCTGTGTGGGGCAAATTTTGTACATATATGCATATATTGTGTTATATACACATGCATACATACATGTGTATGTGTATTGTGTGCACACACCTACGTGTATGTGCATCCACATTACACATACATGTATACACGTGTGTGCATATTCACGTCTTAAGGAACTGAGGGCCTATAGAGCAGATTTTCCTTTGCCTGCCTTTCTGGTTTTCTCCCTGAGACCTTTAAAATTACTGATTTACTGACTGATAAGCTTGTTCCTCACAAAATTTTCAAGGCAATTACATGGGTAAGATCTAGTTAACAAGCTGAGTGGATTTGCTGCATTGTGACTATGTTCACTTATTTGATATTTTCACTTCTTTCTCTTTGTTCTTAAGACTTCTGGGCAAAGATGATTTTCAGAGGGTTTCTAAATTCATCCACTTAGGAGGCCTCTTGTTTTTCAGTAAGACAAAATTTTACTATTTTGGACAAGAGGCCAGAGGTGCGGCAGTTTTGGAGTTGGTTAACTCGGTGGCTCGATGTGGTCAAGGACACAAATTCTTTCCACTTGTTCCCTGGCCACCCCAACTGAATTGGCTTTTGTCCTCCAGCTTGTCCCTCCATGGTCTCCTCGGCAACTTCTCTTCCTGATGATTATTCTGGATTCTTTCCTCACCTAAAGGAGTTTTATCTCAGGAGAGCTAAGGTCTGGGGTTTTGCACCTCTAGCCTGCCCTCCACCCTGCGTCTCCGGAAGGTTACCTGATCTGACTCCCGCTGGCACACCTCTGAGGCCCAGGGCCCCTCTCCTGTTCTGGTCCTGAGAATTAATTCACACCTTGAATTAAAAACCATACACAGTTCAGGGTGGGATTCATTGTTTCTTCCTCATTACTTGGGCTCCCCACTCCCCTGACTCTTCTGCGTCTTCAGGGCGGCCTGCTGCTTCTCTGGGCTGGATGCCTTCCAAGGTTCAGACTGGCCCTCCTCACAGAGCAGTCTCTCCCCTGGGAGAGTCACCCACTCTGTGGTCTCCCCTCTCACTCCTCTGGAAGTGACTTTCGGCACCTTACCTAAGGAGAGGATCAAGTTCTCATTGCCGACCACGGCCTGTTGGTCTTGTCACCTGGATGCGCTGTCATCACTTTGACTTGAACGTGCCCCAAGTTGAACGCACTGTTCCTTCCCCGCCCAGACTTGTCATTGTGCGGCTGCTGTTAGCATTTATTATTCTATTTAAATATGGTTTAAAGCTAAGTAGAAGCTACCTTTTCTTCCAAGTACATGAATCAACAATGAAGATGAAAAATTGTTGCCTTTAGTTATGAGGCCCATTGATGTAAGTAAAAATTAAAAGGAAAACAGTAGCTCCAGCTCCACAGGGGGAAGGCCTGAATTTCAGAATAACTGGATGAGACATGACAGTTAAATGTAATGTGTGATTTTTTTTAATTCTTTTTTCTTTCTGAAGGGTAGATTAAAGGGGAAAAAAACCTATAAAGGAGATCGTTGGGACAACTGGGAATATTTGAATATACACTGTATATTAGATAATGCTAGCACATTAATGTTAAACTTCCTGAGTGAGATTCTTATTCTATGGTTATGCAGGAGGAATGTCCTTGTTCTTAGGAAATACATGCTGAAGTATTTTGGGATGAAGTGTCACTGTGTCTATAATTAACTCTTAAATGGTTCAGCAGAAAATAAAGAATTAAAAAGCAGAAAGAGAGAAAGCAAATGCCATGAAATTGATGAATCTAAATGAGCAGCTTACGGTGTTCACTGTGCTACTTGTAACTTTTCCATTTGCAATTTGTTTGAAATTTTTCAAAATAAAAAGTTGGGGAAAAACTGTGACTGATGGTGAAAATCACTCTTCTGATTTAAGGACTCTGTGTGTATGTGTGTAGGAGGTATTACGGTTTAAGTTTATATTTAGAAATTTTGGAGGTATAATCATTCAAGAAAGTAGATGTGATCTTTGTCTACTTAAAACTAACAACAGTTTGAAGTGTTCTAATGGGTGGAAGGGCTGCTTAGGAATGCTGCTTCCTGAAGATAGGGGTTGTGTCAGTCTGCTCTCTGAAGGCCTCTACCACTTGGCAGACAGCCCTGTACACTGAACATATGCCCCATGAATCAGGAATTGGGCTGCATGTCTCACTGCCGTGCCCAGATATAAGCATGGCCGCCTGGTTCTGTCCCACAGACTGACTGGGTCGCCATGGGAGGTGGGAAGTAAGGCATTGATCCTGCCAGTTATCAGATTAGGTTCTAGACTTTCATATACATCATCTCTATCTGCGCAGACTCCTGCTGTATTAGGAATGATCCTTCCCAGCTACAAATAAGAAAACGAAGCTCACACGTGATTTAAGTTTTAGCCCAAAGTCATAAAACTGGGTAAGTGGTAGAGCTGAGATTTAAACCAGGGCTTTCCACTAGAGAAAACTTAACAACTGCTACTAAGTTGGTCTCCCTGACTACACACTGTCCCGACTAGAATACGTCGCACAAATTTTATACAGCTTACAAATGATCAACCTGCTTGGGGAGCCAATTTTGTCAACTTGCTAGGGAGAAGTCCAGGTGGTGCACGTCTGCCTATCAAATAGAGGGTTATCCAGATTCCAAAGCTGGCCACTGCTGACACAAGTCAAGTCGGACAGTTCGGCTCCATTATTCCCTGCTCTGGGGGGCGCTGCTGCAGCTGCTGCATTTCAGTAGAGGCCAGTCAAGGCTTGTTTTCTGCCTCTTTAGGGGGGCAACGTTAGGGTTTTGTTTTTGCTTTTTAGAAAGTGACTCAGGAATTAACTTCCTGAATTTCAATGGTCTTTCTTCCTATAGCTGGTCCTCCAGGTCCAAGAGACCTTTACTTTTTCAAGGTTCCAAGTATGACTTTAAACTCATTTTTTTCTTTTTGAAAATATAACTAAAACTAGACATGAGTTTTTTTTTTCTTTCCCAAGGAAAGTGTTTTTTTTTTTAATTTTAAAGTAACATTTTTATCAGATAACAACTGATAACAAGAGCTGCTATTTATTGATATGGCACAAAGTATTCTAAGTGATTTACATGTATTATTTTATTTGCTTCTTGCAACAACCTTGTGGGTAGGTGTTCTTCTCAGGGGAGGTTAAGTAACTCACTCAGGTACCTCAGCTACTAGATGGCAGAGGTAGAGCTGGAATTGGAACTTAGATGTAGCTAACAGCAAAGTCCATGTTAAATTCTTAATTATAGCTGCCTCCTAATAATAAAACCGTATGTGTTTACTGTAAAAATATTTGGAAAATACAGAAAGTCTGATGAAGAAATAAATTTCCCTGAAGCCTCCAAATAAATAACTAGTAACACTGTCTTCAACCTTTTTCTCTGCATATTTATCTTCTGTATATATATATATATAATATTTATTTGCATAAATATTAAATGTAATGCAAGAAAGAAAACTACACGAAAAATTCCACTTTTCAAAATATGTGGAAATGATAAATAAATAGGACTCTTACTCCACATTCATTTTTCAGTCTAACATTATATAGTGACTACTTCCCAATATCATTAAATATTACCCAGAAATATGATTTTTTAATGGCTATATACTTCATTGTGTGAATTTCCTGTAATTTAGCCTTTATGTTGATTCTGTTTTTTTTCTATCATAAAATTGTGGTAAACATCTATGTTAAGTTTTTGTTTGAGTATTATGCTCTGATTCTTTTGTTGTTGTTCTTAGTGGGGAAGTTATTGGGTTTATTTATTTTCTTAATGGAGGTACTGGGGATTGAACTCAGAACCTCATGCATGCTAGGCATGCATTCTATCACTGAGCTACACCCTCCCCTGTTCTGTTCTTATGAATGAGCAAATATATGTGCTAGCTACCATGCTAGGCTCGAGACAATGGTGAGCAAAGAGGCAGAGTTGCATCCCTCAGGTGGTTAGCCATCTAGTGGGGGAGATTTAATTCACTGATCACATACAAAACTAAATACAGACTGGGATAAAAAGGGAAGGCACATGTTGCTGAACAGCACTCATCACCAGAGAGACCTGCCCTAGTCTTGGGGATCATGAAAGGTCTCTCCAAGGAAATAATACTGGGCTTGAGATCTGAGTGAAAGGTAGGAGCTAGCTGAGGAAGAAAGCTGGACAAGAGCATTTCAGGCAGTGGGAACAGTGGATACAAAGTTCTTGTGACAGGCAGCAGCACAGGGCATTTGAGGAGCAGTTAGCTTAGCAAGTTTGGGGGAGAGGGTACAATCATGAAGCTGGGTTAGGATCTCTCTTTTTTTTTTGGTAAAGAACCAATTTTTTACAATCTTGCTTTAACTGAAAATTAAAAATTTAGGAGTTAACTTCCACATATTTGTGCATTTCATAAATTTCTTTCCATTATTAATTTCCAATTCCACTCCACTGTGATCAGAGAACATAGTTTCAATCCAGTGATTCAAACTAGAAAAGCAAATTATTTATTTTGTTTCCCTTTAATCTTCCAGGACTTGGCATGGCACATGGTGGCAGTAAACAGAAGGACCAAAGTATCAACCCACAGATTCTCTTACTGGTCATAGGGAAAAACACAGCTTTGCAATGAGAGGGATCAGACTGTGACTATCTGCCTGCGCTGATCCATCTTGGCCTCAGTATTGGTGAGACAGCCAGATACTGTATGCACCTGACACGATGCAGTATGAAGGACACAGCATCACCTACGAAATGTTCTTACCAAAAATGCTTCACCTGAAGCTAACTATCAGCCTACAGGGACTAGAGGAACAAGGGAAATGACATGCCAAGGAAATCATCAGACAAAGTGAGAAGGCAGGACATACTGAGTTTCTTCAACAAGTCAACGGCATTAAGAATAAAAATAGTGCTGGAGATTATTCTAGATTACAAGAGACTTATGAATAAAACCAAATGCAATATGTAGACTTTGTTGGACCATGGTTTGAATACACCAGCTGTAAATGACATACTGGGGAAAACTGGGGAAGTTTTAATATAGATCAGGTATTAGATTGTATTAAGAAACTGCTAATTTTGTGAGGCATGATAATGGTCTCTCTCTGATGCACAGCCAGGGCTCAGAATCTCAGGTCTGGGCTGAGTGAGACTCAGGCAGGAGACCTGGGTTTTCCACAAGACCAAGAGTAGTCATAATCTCCCTGGGTTAATCTCGGCAGTGAGGAAAAATAACTGCTACAGGAATATCTCTGGGTAAAAAGCAGTGGCTACTGAGGGTCTGATGTCTGAAAAGTATGGATGGCAGGTCTGGAAAAGTGCCAGTAAGTCCAATAGCTTCTTGGAAACATGTAGGCTTCACTGGAGTGAAAATTGTTCTGGAGCCCCCAAGGATCCTAATGTTAGGACTGATTCTTCAAAATAAATCAGTAATAAAACAGGTTGTATGCTGCCTACTTTTCACCTGTACTATGTCACTGACCCTGTTGGAGTCTTTGGTAAACCTTCAGCTTTGGTCAGTTCTCTCTCACAGCTCCTTCCTCATGTCCACACGTGAAATGTGGGGATGTGGAAAATGCCTGCATTAGTAAATAGGATTTCTTATTTTGCTTCAGAATAGGCTTGTTTGTGTACCATATGAGCTAAAGTTCCTGCTACCTTAGGGGAAAAAGTTGTAATGGTTTAAATTGTCTGTTTTGTTTTCTGCTAATTTAACTATTCATAGAATCTATAACCTTAATACAATCAACCACAAATTGGATAGCTGGATCATGACAGTCTGGATGGCCACCTACCTAGTTCCACTGCCTTTGGTCCAAGAATACTGCAGAAAGTAAGGTCCATGAATCTTTACTTAGATCCCACTTGTCTTATCGTGATGCGAAGCTTGCAGCCTCAGATACTACTTAACATTTCTAAGTATTGGGGAAAAGAAGAAAAGAGGAAATTTACATTTATTGAGTAGTTATTATTGGCCAGGCATTATACTAATTACTTCATCTATTTTCACCCATTTAATTGGGGATGAATATAGAGCAGTAGTTTTAGAGTAGTTAACTCTAAAAAAATGAAATCAGAGAGAGAGGAGGGAGGGGAGAAGCAAGGATGTAAAACTGGCAAAATATTAACAATTACTGAATCCAAATGGACGGTATACAGGTACTCGTTTTATTCTTTCAACTTTTGAAATTTTTCATAATTAAAAAAAAAGAATGTCCTTAAATAGTTAAATGTAGTTATCATGTGACCTAGCATATGAATGCTAGGTCTATAACTAAGAGAAATGAAAGCCTACATCTTCACCCAAAAAAAGCTTGTACACAAATGTTCATAGCCCCATTACTTACAATAGCCAAAAAGTGGAAACAACTCAAAGTCGATGAATGGATAAACAAAAGTGGTATATCCACACAATGGAATATTATTTGGCCATAAAAAGGAATGAAGTTCTAATCTATACAACAACATGGATAAATTTTGAAAACATTATGCTAAGTAGAAGAAATCAGTCATAAAACCCACATATTTTATGATTCTGTTTACATAAAATAGGCAATTTTATAGAAACATGAAGCAGATTAGTAGATGTCTAGGGGCTGGGGGTAGGGAATTAGAGATGGAGTGACTGTTAATGGGTATGAGGTTTCTTTTGAGGGGATGATGTTTTAAAATTAGATTGTGGTGATGGTTGCATAGTTGTGAATATACTAAAAACCACTGAATTTTACGCCTTAAGTGGATGAATTTTATGCTTTAAAGTATGACATGTGGACTACATCTCAAAAAGGCTGTTTAAAAAAAAGACAAGTCTGGAGTCAAGACTACCTAGGTTTGGATCCTGTCTCTATCACTTTCTCTGTCATGTCAACTTGGGTCAGTTATTTACCCTCTAGGCTATAGTTTCTAATCTGTAAATACAGGAGTAGTAGCACCACTACTAGCCTTGTTTGGGGGGATAACCTATGTGAAGTAGCCAAAGTAAGTACTCAGTAAATACTAGCTATTATCAATATTATCGATTATTGAACAACCCTAGAAGTTGAGACTATTCCCACTTTTCAGACGAGGACTCTGAAGCCCAAAAAAGTTACTACTTTGCCTATGGTCATGAACCTAGAAGAAAGTTAAGAGAGGGCATTCTGATGACACAATACTGCAAAAGCCAGGCTATTTTTCACCATGTAATTTTGCCTACCAGAGTAGATTATCTTCTGTGGCATAATATGCATTTATAGAAGGTGCTTTAAGAATTATGAAAATCATGTGAGAAATCAATACGCTAAAAAAAACCTTCTAATTTTAACATAGCCTTTTATGCTAAAGTGGTATTATTTAACATTCCCCAAGCTTCTCAGTTTGATCATCTGACATAAAGAGTATCAATTTAGTGAAGACAGTCTATGTTTAAAATCCTTAACTGCCCAAAAGGAGCTTGGCTGAGAACAGAAGAAATATGTTTTTGAATGAATGAATGAATGAACAAATACATGCAAGCCACACCCTTCAGTAGTCACTGGCTCTAATGTGGCAATAGATTTTCCTACTGATTGTGTACTTCAAATAAAGAATAAGATTTATAACTAAAGGGTCAAGGTCCTCCTCGTCCTAGAAATGGGGAAAAAGCCAAAATAACCCCTAGTGATTAAGTTATAAATTCAATTACCACTTATTTCCAAAAAGTACTCTAAGTTCCCATTTAACCATCTCTCTCTACCCCACTCCCAAAACCACACACACACACACAGCTGGGATTTTCCTGCTCCTTCCTTAAACCTGTTAAACAACGTCTGATTAACAATCTAGTATGGGATGTACTTGAGTGGCGTTAAGTGGTCTGCACTGTGGAAAGCCTTCCAGCTACCACAGGAAAGAAGTCTGGGTGAATACTTAAATACAGAAGTCTAGCCTGCTGCACCAATTAGACCTGAGCTTTGCACTCTCCAGAGGGAAATTACACACCTGGCACATGTGTGTCTGGCATAACTGAGCATTCAGTAAATGTCTGCTGCCTGAATGACAGAAATTGTCCGCATTTCTTTGGTTCCTATTCATATTGTCCACATTTTTTTTTATTAGAATTCTTGTTTTCCCAGGTAAAATTTGAGTTCCACTGTATGGGCTAGGGGGCAACGCTATAGATGAGAAAATTAGGGGAGATTTGAAAATCAGTCCCATTAGAGAAAGAGGAAAGTGAAGAGATTTAGGGCAAATCAGAGTCCTTTATGCTAAATTATTCTCTTGGGTTTGAGCCTTGTGCCAGTCAATTCAGTTCTCTTTATTCTGTGGTCATGGTATGGTCCCAAACCTGTCTAGTCTTTTGTTAATGCATGCCCTTGAAGAGGGGAGAGGAGGCAAAGAGAGAGGTGAAGCCACTCCCAATTTTTAAAAAACAAACAAGCAAGCAAACAAAAATCTTCAAAGCACAAGTCCTATTAATTAATAGTCAGTGATGTCATCTTTGAAAACAGAGGGTAATGATTTAATGTACTTCAAAGACTATGAAGATTATGGGCCTTCCTGGTAATTCCCTGACTACAGATAAAATAAATACCCAGAGATTAAATGAAGCAGGACAGTCTACTGTAAAATCTGGAAGCACAGGACCACTTAGACCCTCCACAGTCCACATGAAAGTTCATTCATTCGTTCAACAACCTTTTAAGAGCTTGCTACATACCAGGGAACTATTTTAGGTGTTGGAGATCCAAATTAGGGGCTGAAAAGAAAGTGAAGCATGGAAGATCATTAGGAGATATTCAGAGGAGAAAGTTACAAAAAATAATATTGGTAGAAACCTTCTCTCAAACCTCTAAGGCCCCATAGAGTACTGACTATTCTCTCTTCCTTGACAGGTAAGCTTCTGGAAAGAATAGTTTGTACCTGTGCTACTGTACAGAACTAAGAAAAAGCATTTAGAAACTGGGATAGCAAGTGACATGGCCATGACCTCTAAGCCTGTCATCTGAGCACTAGCCCTATTGAATAGTCTAGACCAGTTTGGCTGTTATCCAACTCTTAGGGTACCTTGTACCTGGTGCAAGTATCACGCTGGTCACTTGTAGCAGGATGGCTGTTAGTCAATGACAGGTGGGAAATGACAGATACTGTGCTTGACTAGAGATGTTTGAAAAGCACGGGTCTATATCACACTGAGATATAGATTTCAATCTGGCCTCTGCCCTCCTCACCCTGATGAAAAGGCCATAGGAAAGGTCACTCACCTCCTTATGGCTGAGTTCGGTGGATTCTTTTATGTCATTGGATGTGACATCTCTGCAGCACTGACACCTTTTGCTTCTTTAACATTATAGGAGTTGTGTAATGTTACCTCCTACCTCTCTGACAACTCCTTCTGTCTTCTTTCCATTCTTCTCTTCTGCCTACTCCTTGGCCTGCTCCTCGTCTCAGGCTACCCTCGCACAGATTATTGCTGAGCAATCTTACTGATGTTTCATGCCTTCCATCATATCCTGTTGACTTCTAAATCTCTATTTTCCAGGTTAGAAACTTGATGGTACACTAATGTGCTGAGAATGTTTACAAAAGAAATAAGTTTTAAGTTAAAAAAGCAAGATAAGGAATCCATTTTTTTCATTTACAATTGTTTTCAAAATTACACATTTAGCCCCAGAAGCCATTTTTATTCCAAGAGAAATCTTACATGAAATATATAAAACAATATAAAAGCAGTTTCTCTGAAGTGGAGGTGAGCCCTATTCATTGACTCTTACTTCCTGGGGCTTCTCAGGAATTGCTAACCTACAGTGTTTTTTAATCAGGGGTCTTTGGACCTCCAAGGGATTCAAGGAAAGAATTCAGAGGACCCATAAAAAAATTACACTTTCATTTTAACTAACCACTACATGAAACCTACTAGTTCTTTCAACTATGAATATAGGCCATAACACAGTAGTATCAGCAGCAGTGATGGGTTCATCACCAATAGAAATCAGACACACACAAGTCATGTTATGTTGTTGCAAATATCTCAAAGTATCATTTACATTTATCACTACATATTTTGGTAGTTATTATTGCCCTAGATATTGTTATATAATGTGTTAAAAAAGCATACACGTGAAGGTATCACAACCTTTGATTGATACATAATAGATATGTCATTAACTTTAAAACATTATTCTGAAAAGGGATTCACAGGCTTTACCAAACTGCCAAAGGGATTATTAACAGCACAATAAAAGGTTAAGAAGCCATGTGGAAACTCAGGACTCCATGAAAATTTAGCCACATGGAACACAGAGCTCCCAAAGTAAGGTCTCTACTTTGTCCCTAGTCCTTGTCCAAAATGATTTAATGGAAGTGGTGATAAAAAGGCCCTTTCTGTTCTTGATGTTAAGGAGACATTCTCAGTGAAGAATCTGTTGGAACCTCACTTCAAATAACTGTATATTTGAAATAAAATATCTTGATTTTTAAAAGACATTTTCTGTAAGTGCTATTTAAAACTCACTTCTAGGAAATCTTTTCTCTTTTGATCCTTTCTTTTCCCTGCATTCCCTCAATGTTTATTCAATTGTTTACCACTAAATACCTATTAGTTCACAGGTCTATTTTGTCTCTCCAACTGGATTATAAACGTGCCCTTGAGAAGTTTATTTCCCAGGATGGCCAGAATAGTGTTCTACAAATAGACACTCAATAAATGCTTCCTGATGAGTGCAAGGCTTTTCAGAAAAGTGAACCTGTTTACCATAAAAGCAACATTAAAAACCAATATGGTTGAGTTATTCTATAACAAGGTGGTGAAAAAAGAGGAATCTTTGATTCTGGAAAATACTTGTGAAAGGAATTAAGACACTATGTTTATAAATAACTTTTATTTACTAGTAAGGATTAAAAATCTTCTTTAATAGAAAGTGATCCCTCAGATGACCTGAAAATTCCATTTTCTATCACCAGCAGAGTGGGTTAGGTTTTCTCTAGTGAGCAGATTACATGATGAACACTGCTAAATTCTTTCTAAAATCTTTGATTCAGGAATTCAGCATGGTTTATATATTGACAGACAAGAGTTTTACAACAAAAGCTCAAGCATAGAATAATAGAAAATACAACTGTGATTTTTAAAACTATAGGATATTCCATGTCAAAGGTGCTATAGCTAGTGTTTTACATTTTTTTTAATCTATCGAAACCATTGTTATATGAAAATTACTGCAAATCAGGCCTGTAAATCTAAATTCAAATTGCAGACCTATGACATTTTAGTCAATGATTTATTTCATGCTTTCAAAATGTTACCTTCATTAAAAATGTAATTAATGTTTTTTTCTTGCCACATTCACAAATCTCCCGATGTCTTTTCTGAGCCAATCTGATGTTTAAATGAGCTTAAATGTCAACAATACAAAAAATATAGTTAACGTTTTTCTAAATAATGATTAAGGCCTTGTACCCTTTCATTTAATTATGAAATTAATCAAGTCCTGTCAATTCTCCTACATACCTACTTCTCAAATATACCCACCCCAAATGCATTTGCCACTGCCTCAGTTCAGGCCTCCTAACTGCCTCCAGTTTCTCCACTCTCCCAAACATCCTCCACATGGTCACTAAATGATCAGGCTTGGATTTCAGAAAGATCACACCACCCCTGCTTAAAACCCTGTCCTGGCTCCTCACCCTGCACAGGTTTCATGTTCGATAGCATGGTACCCATGGCCCTGAGCAGTCTGGCCAATACCTACCTCTCCTGCACTTCTCTTGTCACAGTGTGTCACACTAGAGTCATCAGCTGTGGTGAACTATCTACAGGGCACAGCTTTCCCTTCTCTGGGCCACCCTTTCATACTGAGTACTGAATTCAAACACTTTTCATAAACTAGTTAAACATTACTTCTTCTATTAGGACTTCTTGAAGCCTGTCCAACTCTAAAGTTAATCACCTCCTCTTCTAAATCTTGTAACGTATCATTGTACTTATCACACTGCACTATAATTGTTTATATGCTTGCTTCTTCTATATCACTGTAAACTTTTTCAGACCATGAAAGGTGTTTCCTGTCTATTAAACCGAACTGAATTTGATCTAGTGATCTGAGTAATCGGGAAGCAGAGATGGGATGCTTCCAGAGTGACTCATAGCAGCCAGGATGATCACGTTTCTCCACGGCAAACGTAAATCTCATGGTTCTTTAATCACAGGGATTACCAAAACCTCTCAGAATAGCACACAAAACACAAACTCTTAAATGTAAATTGATTATTTCTGGCTTAATATGTAACGTATACATTGTGTTTTCAATCTTTTGACAGGGGACAGAGTAGATTAGAGGACGGCGCTTACAGCGCGCACTAGGAACGAGCATCTGTTAAACTCTATCACACACGTACCAGGAGAAAAGTGAGTCCTAGGAGACTGGAAACTACCTTGTAAAAGAATTCCTTTGCGGAACAGTAAAAATTAAGCAAGGGTGACTATTATCAAATATGGAACAAAAGTAGGTGGCATGAGAGATTCAGAGAAATTTTGTGGCTTCAAATATTTACAGTGGATGACCCCAAGTCATACAGCAAGCATTCACATAGGTGCAATGCCTAATTTTCAAGATCTAAATCTGCTCCTCTGTGTCTAGAGCTACAACTAATTTATTTCTGGGATGAAAAAACACTAACAAATGTGCACAAGTAATACTTAAGGATAAAATCTCCCCTTTTAGAATATACTAATAACTTTGGTTTTAATACAGGAATCTCATTACTCATAACTTAACACAAGAAGTTTGCCTGAAGTATTTAAAATTAGCTCACAATTTAACTTAGTTTGTTCTTTTCCATATTTTGCAGGGGTTCTACACTCAACACATGTTAGTTTTGAAAACAAAAATACAAAAAGAATACAAATGAACTTAAATATAAAACAGAAAGAGACACAAGACATAGAATACAAACTTGTGGTTGCCAGGGGGAAGGGGGTAGGTAGGGACAGACTGGGAATTCGAGATTTATAGATACTGACAGGTATATATACAATAGATACACTAGTTTATACTGTATAGCACAGGGAAACATATTCAAGATCTTGTAGTAGCTCATGTTGAAAAAGAATAGGAAAACAAATATATGTATAGTCATGTATGACTAAAAAACTGTGCTGTACACCAGAAATCGACACATTATAAACTGATCATAACTCAATTAAAAAAATACAATTAGTTTAAAGAGTTACCCATAAGAATATCAAACATATTAGTTTAGAACAATTTCTAGGGTTTTCTTATGAGAATGTCATTAAATTTTCTGTTTCATCTAAGGCTCATCTTCAAGAATTCTTTTCATTTGTTTTACATATTGCCAAGAGAAAATCTGAGTGAAATAAAATAACCAGCTCAGAGAAGGGAACTTTTTGTTACAATGACAATGACACTTTAACTAATCCCCAAACTTTTTCCTATACCCAGGACCCATGATATCTAATTCAGTCACCTAGCATTTCTTAAGAACTGCTATGCTATGGTAACTATAAAGCATTTCTCTTTAGCAGGTAGTTAAAAATAAAACTATAGTAAGGAGGGAAGTCCTGCTAAATCAGCTTCATAACAAATATAATTCTAGTGCAGCAGTTATTCAAAGTGTACATATTACTCAATATGTAATAGTATCAAAAATTATAAATCAACAATTTTCTCTTTACTTTCAAAAAATCAGTCAAGCCTTAAGAAAAAAACCACTCAGATACATTCTAAAATCTGAATATATTTCAAATTAGGAAAATAGCTAACATCAATTTCATTAGCTTTTCATCCCCCTTTTCCCTCATGTAAGATTTTTTGAAGTGGAAACTATATAAAATTTCTATATATTCCTTCATAACACAGTTATCAATAAGCAGTAATGAGTAAAGGGATCATCACTCTTTTCCTATCTTTGACCCATGGCTATTTTACACATAAAAGGTTTAAATGTTAATCTTTAAATAAAATTCTTTTCTACTTATTTCATAAAGCCTACATCTTTCATATCTTATTTCTTATGTGGTATAGCAGTTTTATGATTTCTAGAACAAAAGAGTCTGCTGTTATTTTTACAGTTTATAAAACTGTATAATTATGCCAATCTGAGAACTGCCTTTCTTTTTAGCTGGTGATTTAGTTGCAGCTAAAAAAAAAAAAAAAAAAAAAAGAAAAGCCTCGTCAGCTCACAGGAACACATGGAAGGCTTTGGGCCATGTGCCCAGGAATTTTGTGATTCACTCAGTAACTATCATCTTCCCAAAGGAAATATTTGAAATTCCACTATTAAGAACACATAAAACAAGGAAAAAAGTGTTACTAGAAAATAGTATACCATTAGCCTAAGTGCTTTTTCATTTCTGTGAGAAAATTATACACTTGAAAAAAAATCTGCCCCAAATATCTACACCAAATAAACTAGTAAAATGTTGTATATGCATAATCCAATTAGCTGTCAGAAGTCAAGAGAAAATGAAAAGTATTTACACTTCCAGATAAAGAGTAATCAAACCTAATTCTAAGTGAACATGTCTAATGTACATATAAGAAAAATTTAATAAACCAAAAAAAAGTCAACTGGCATTTCATATTTTTAAAGATTTATGATGCTTGTTCTCAGATCCTATTATTGTTTCAACAACCTAAAAAGGCTCTATCAAGAATAAACCTTCTTTCTCTTAATAATGGGAACAAATTCCTTCGAGTGCCTTTAATGACAGTCGTAATCAAAAGCAAATACGGTACATTAGAAGTTGACACAACATTGTAAACTGACTAACTTCAATTAAAAAAAGAAAAAAGAAAATATGACTTCTTAAAATATTAATATTTTAAACACCTCACTGGGATTCAGTAATATTTCCTTTACCCACAGCTCAGCTATCTTACAAACCTTACTTACAAAAAACAAACACACGAAAAACCAACCCAGACAATACACCAAACTTCTTTGAACAAAGGAATGTTAGAAGGCTCATATGCTCAGGCATTTTGTTCTCAAGCCTTCACTCTGAGTCTATTTCACTTCCTTCTACACAATTCCAACAAAAAATTTGACTTTCCAAGTCTATATGAGATAAAAGCAACAATAAGAGAAGTTGCTATAGGCAAAGCATACGAACAACTGCAAAATGCAGTATCTGAGAGTCTACAAGTATGAAAATCAAGAGGAAATCAATAAAAAACAAAAACAAAAGAAGCCGTATCTGACCCTTCTGAGGTTATTCAAGAGCAATCATATACTTCAGGAGCTTCTCAAGTCAGCCTGTTAGCACATTACATAACTGAAGTGAACAATGACCTTGAGTCTTCAATACAGTTCTTTCTATTTAAGTATCACATGTTGCTATTAGCCTACGTCTTGACAGGGTGACCGCATCTGGTTTGCTTGGGATTGTACCAGCCCAGGCCTGTTGTCCAGGCATAATTATTATTAGCTCTCCCTTTCACTCTCAGAAAGAATGGCTTGGAAATGTAAATTTTAGGGTTATCCTACTGAATGCTTACTATGTGCCAGGAACTATTCCAAGGGTTTTCATTTATCCTCACAGTCTTATGAAATGGGGTGTAATTATTATCCTCTTTTTCAGATGAACTAAGGCTCTAAGAGGTTAAGTGATTTTCCTAAGATTGTCCGATTAATAAGTATTAATCGCCTATATGTGAACAAACCAGATAGTCTTATACCAAAATAGTATTCAACCACAATACACTGTACTACTTCTCCTTAGGAAGATCGGTAGAGGAACAGCGGAAGAGAGAGATCCAAGTTTTTAGAAAAGGGTTGAGAATTATCAGCTTTCTGGAAAGTGTGTCTATACACTCCTTACGGCTTCCATGGTCCCATAAACTTACAATACTGAAACATCTAAGAAAATCTTTGTAGTGTAAAAATACTCCAGTTTTTATGAGCATGGGCTTTCTTAGAAAACAAAAATTCCAGTAATATTTTTCAAATATTCTTGAGACGCAACTTTAGAAACATACTATAAAAATAAAAAAAGATATTTAAAAGAAACAATAAAAAAAACCACACTAAATTAGTTATGTCCTGTTCAAAACATCTGATTATCCCATTAAAAAAAGAAAATTAGTAACTCACTGTATGTTACAATACAAAGGCAGAGTGAAAAGTATACTGGACTGGAATCTGCTTTGCTACTCAGTAGCTGGGATGTCCCTTAACTTCTCCAAACTTGTTTCTTCATGCGCAGCAGAGAAATATGGTTTAGCTCGTTAAGACGACCTAAGGAGATCAAACGGATTTCAAGTGTCTTGAGAACTATAAAGGACTACCTATAATTTAGGGTATTAATTGATTAATTGTCACAGATTTTCAACAACCTCAATCATAAACTTATGCCAACTGTTCCAAAACAATCATATTTATTTCCGCTTATTTTTTACTTCAAAATTTAAGGGAAAAAACTATTCTCTGATTGGTCACATGTGAAAAAGAAAATCACACTAAAAAGATAAAAGAGCAATCATGAACAACTCAGGGCCTACACTTTATACTTCATTCTGAAAAACATGCTACTTATCAGCTAATTAGTCCTTAAACAACCTGTGAGATTAAGTAAAATAGTTATAATAAAGAGGTTCAAAGACTTACAATAAATCTTACTTTTTACATAGTTCTCTATCTACTTAAGTACAACTTACTTAGTGATGTTTAAACAAATTATTACATTTACATAGTATTTTCCTGATTTCCAAAAAACATTTCCATATTTGATCCTTAGCAATCAGGTATGGTAGACATATATCATCATTCGCATATATTGAAGAAACTGAGGTTCAGAGAGACTAATTTGCCAGTTGCTTTTTGACAGGAAATTGAAGTGGAAGGATGACTCCTAATCCACATGGAAAGAAAGCAATTATTTGGATGTTTCAGAGCAAAAGAAAAGCCTCAGACTTCTTCACTGGCTGAGACGAGACACAGAACATCTATAAACTCATGCTGTCTGAAAAGCAATATTCACTGGAGCCTGCCTGCACATCTCCAGTGGCTTTAATATTCACCAAAAAATAAATATTCTTGTTTGGGATCTCAAACTACTAGTACATTTTCAAGCAAAAATAGGACTTATGAAGAACAGAACCAGACTATTTTTTCAGAGTGGCAACCTAATAAAAGGGGTTCCAACCCCTCTACAGTTTACCACTGCTGAGATTATTCCTTAATAAGAATACTTAAAATAATCTTCTCCCAAAGCTTATTTGCTAGATTCTATAAAGTAGCTGTTACAAAGAATCTGCATCAGAGAAATTCAAACCTAATAAGAGGCTTTTCTTCCAACCTACTAAAAGGCACATTAAATACATAATGTTGGCCCCATTATTGTAGATAGTGATGGAAAACAACAGCTGATAGCCAGTTTGGGACAAATGCCAACTGTTCCCATTTGTCACAAAATGTCAAAATTAACTGCTACAACACTCAGTTTTCAAAAAATATTGATATCTCTAAATAATAAAGTGTATCAGCTGAAATCCTAAAAAAACAGACTAAAGATAATGGTGTCTTACCTGCAATATTAGTTTAGAAGATTTTAGTGTTCCAGAGTATAAGTAAACACATCTCAACAGCTTTATATATTTTCATATATTTTATTTTTTAAACACTTATTATTTTGCAAGCTAGCAGTAAAATATTGTCCTCAATATTTTACTAAGTAGCACCGTATACCTTTTAAAGCTAACTGGAACAGTGTTTCATTGTAAATGATAGTAAAGTAAAATGATCATTTCAGATGCCAAATTAGTCTCAAGTAACATATGAACGATTAATTATCATTATTTTTGGCTTTATGCACAAAGATGAACTAATATTAGTATTACTCCTGTCAATCTAACAAATCAAAGTACCACAGTTTAAAGTACCAGCAGTATTTAATCTCTGAAATTATAATTAAAGAGGCACATAAGAAAGTTGAAAAATCAGCTATAAAACCAGAAGATACCTCATAACCTATTTAG